ATTTTAACACTCCTATTTGAGCTATTACCAGCAGCTTATGTCCATAACTGTGGTCAGTTAATCTTTTTGTTCCTCTGAGTGATGAAATGCAAACTTAATGTCTCTTTACAGGAAACCACAATGCAGGTCTGTGAATGCACTCAATTTGCAATGTGCGGAAAAACCACACTTAGCAGCGTCATGTATGTGTAGTGACACCACAGTGTGAGTTCTAAAGAACTCTTTTTACCAATGGAAAAAAAAACCCCAACATAACCCAAAATAGAAATGATCTCTGCAGAAAGACTTCACAAGTTTCCATTTTATTGGTGTACTTCTGACAATAACAATGATGGTATAAAAGAAAATCTCCATCATACAAATTTCAATAATCAAAAGATAATATGCTGATACACAAACAGATCCACATAAGGCTGACATCAAGTTTTGACAAGTGGCTTCAAATGGCTTCAATTCAAGGAGACGTGTTACTCCTTACAATCAAAGAATAAATATTTTGAAGATTTTTAGCAAGCCGTCTCCTTTTTTCGGTTTTCTTCTTGAATAGTTTCATACAAAATAAAATGACGTCCTTTAGCATTTTGAAGTGAATTGTGTCGTTGGGTTTTGGTGCCTTTGTTTCTTTGCTATTTAAGACATTTTTTTTTTTTTTTGCCTGAAATAATAATATAATCATGTAGTAATGCATTCCAGTGACCTTGCTGCTGCCCACTGACACAGGCATTCTTATTTAAGAATCCACACCCAAACTTGAGGCGTCTCATCAGTCAGGGAAGTTGCAGACACTGGAAGTCGCAAAACTTTGTGATCATGTGAGTAATTTCAAATTTTATATTTTATTTTTTTAAGAAAAAGAAACCGTTTGTGCTCGGAAGCAGTGATGTAAAAACATTGATGTGTAAGCTCCACTAGCATTTAAATGGCACCAGATAAACCCCGACCCAGGCACCCCCCCCCCCCCCCGAAGCCTTGTTCTTTATGCTAGCATCTGTAGTGATTTAAGACCTTAATAGAATTTCTAAAACACTACACACAACAACGATATTTACAATTATCTTCTTGATATGCACTTCTTTAAATTTAAATATTCTTGCTTATAAAAAAAAATAAAATGAAAACTCAAGTGAAAAAACACAGAACAAAATAAAACCGCAATAAATTAAAAAGCTTTAAGGCTGCCAGTCTTGTCAGATGCCCAAAGAATGGTCCCTTCATTTAAACTGGCACTGAACGGATCAGGACAGGTGAGATCAAGATATGAAGAAGCCTCTTTAGGGAGCGGCAGGTCGTGCCTGCTATCTTCACACAGGAATCAGTTCCCAGTTCAACTCCCCTGATGAGTAAACTAGTGGCCAAAGCTGTTCAGTAGTTATCAAAGAAAATACATCTTTAAAGTGTAGAGCTGATGCGGCTGCTTGTGGTGTAATGTAAATATAGAGCCTAATACTGACTCTGAGAATGCTGAGGGCCTCTGTAGATTGAGGGTGTAACTCACAGTCTGAATCTTCACCTGAACACTCACACTAAAAACCATTTGGCTTGGCTAGATGTCCATTTAGCTTTTAATTTAAAGCAATAATTTTTTTTTTAAATGAGATATATATATATATATATATATATATATANTATATATATATATATATATATATATATATATATATATATATATATATTTAGAGATAGTATACAGAGTATCATGTACATGTCATTAACTACATGGAGAACTTGCCAGTTGTTCACAACCAGGAAACAATAACAACAAAAAAAAAAAACATAAAAAAAATGTGTTCTCATCAGTGCTGGTAAACAAAACGGAATTTTCTTTTTACAAATAATAATAAAAAAAAGCTTGGAAAATAAGATTATATGGAGGATGGTTGCACCTCTGACAGGTCTAAGCCATTTCACTCAAACACACATGGAAAAGAAAACTTAACACAACTGCTTGCTATTGTCCATGACTTGCACTGGGCACCTCCCTAGTCTGGAGCTGGAAGGTAAATGCATGCTTCCTTTCTGGGAATAAACTAGAGCTTTTTTCTAAATATATATATATACACACAGAGGTGCTGTCTGAAGCACACGCACTCATTAAAATGCCAGGTTGTTGTGTTAGAAAAAAGATTGATAAAGCATTTCTTAACCCTGTATCTCAAAGTGTTCATCCAGTGTATTTTGATTCAGTTTCAGCATTTAGTCGTTTCTAGATCAAATCTGCCACCAAATATTGTGAATTTGATTAACCTGAAATAGACGTCAGATATTTTTTTATCTGCAGCATGAAGCCAGATGACAATTCTATTTATAATTTGCAAAAACCCTGTAATTGTAAAAAGGTATATATATTATATGTACTCCATGGTATAAGTAAAGATGAGTCATCGATACTTGGAGGACAGGATGGGGCATTGGTGACATACTGTACAAGGCAAACCAAGATGTTATCCACAGAGGCTGCCTGATGTGACAATATTATTCTCCAAGAAGACATTTTATACTAAATAAATTCAAGCCTTGCTCAATTTTCCTAAAATATTTGATACCAAAATGTTTAACAATTCAAAAGTTTAGGTCATTAAGGCTGTTGAGGATCAAAACAACACATTCTGCCAAAAACTGAGCACCAAATACCACATCATGCTCTGAAGTTTCCTTTCTTCAGATGAAGCTGCAGCTTATTATATCAAGGCAGACGACAGTGAGGAAAAACTCCTATGATTCATAGTTTGATCTAATTTTTCTGCTTTAAAGCTGAAGATGAGGAATGGTTTTATTTTTCCATCAATATGCATCCAAGCATGCCTCAAAGTGAACAAATGTGGACCCAGCATGCTGTTCTAGTCCTACCAAAGACAGAATGGCTGAAATTGTGAATCAAAATGCAGCTGGGTACACTTATTTTGTTTTTTATCATTTGTAATTTTTACTTTGTCCAATTTTTTAGTTCCACTATACAGGACATATATGGCGTTAGAAATGGTCAACATATCTAAACAGAAACCTGGTATTCGAAAAAGGATAGCGAGCACTTCTAAGATCCTCTGTTCATACGATATATGTAATGAGAAATTATATTGAGCCCACATGAAAAATGAAAAGATGACGAAACTAAATGAAACAGCCAGAAGTCTCAATGTTTCTGCAGCTCAGTATCAGACTACTTGATGGTAAAATTGGCCCCAGTAAGCATGTCCCCCGGAGGGAGCTCCGGCAGGTCACTACCATCGATTATCATCAGCATAATGGAGGTGATCAGTGAAAGGCAATGGCCACTAGCATTTTTAAAACTCTGTCTTGCTCTTCCAGTGGTTATCACACAAAATGGCCTCCTCCAACGCGTCTGCTCAGAAGAGTAATAACACCAAGCTACAGTATGGGTGCTATTCCATCTCATTTCACCTCATTACAGCAAAACCATTCCTGCAATTCTTAGAAAGGCAAGATATCCGTCTCACAATGAAATGGAGTCACCCTCATTTTCACAGAACCAAACCTCAGGATCCCACGCTATTACACACACGTCTAGGTTTCAGTGCATCTAACACAGTCTGTCACTTCCTAAATCTTCACGTCAACCCACAAGAAAAAATAAAAACTGAACAATTAAAAGCAAGTAATTTATCAAATAAATAGACAAGAGGTCCAGCCTCTTTAGTTTGTATTTTATCATTGAAATCCAACAGCTTTGTCCATTACGTACATGTCTCCCAGGAGATTAGAAATGTATACAAGGCGATTTGTGTGAAATGATGTAGCTGCATGACAAGAAGACAGTGAGGATAGTATGTCTGTTTGACATATTAAAAGTGAAACTACATTAGTTTGGGGATATTCGACACCCCTCAAGAAACAAAAAACAAAATCAACACTGATAAACAAACAGGAGAGGAGCTGCTGCGTTTCTTGAGAGGACTGACATTTTGTGCTGTAGAACAGAGTCAGGCCGCACTCCTCTCCAAAAATACAGATAAGTCTCAATCTAGATCAACACTTCAAAGTCTGATTCAAACAAAGGAGAGCCTGGACACAGCCAATCAGTACTTATTACATGACACATGTGAATGAGCATTTAGATCCGCCTTTTTCTCTACGTAAGCAAAACAAGTGTCAGTTTAATATAAAAGGGGAACGAAGGCAGCCGCAAAGGAGATGCTGGACACATAAACTGTTCGCAGCAACCTGGGAGGAGGAGAGCCGATTACAAACACTAGACAATCGGAAAAATAAAGCTAAAGCTTCTGTAAACACCAGTGACAGTTACACCAGTCAAGTATTCACTACCTCCAATTCTCTGTTGTAAAAAACTGAAGGTGAGTAAACATTAGGAACAAAGGGGGTCTAAAAATACACCTATTTCTTTCTGGCCTAGATTTACAGGCTGCACACAGAGTGAGGTCTAAAGTCAGCCAGACAGGAGTTCGGAGACGGCGTCTCCTCCTTCCCTGGCGACCAGATGCATGCAGGCCATTTGCATAGCTTGCCCTCACTCGCACACAGACACAAGGAACACGTGAGTTCTGAAAAAGAAAAGGGGCGCCACGTTTTGCTTAAGCAAAGCGTGCTGAATTTTAAGTTTGCATACGCAGTCACTCCTTTTCCGTAGTCCAACAAGGGAATGCTAGCACCCATGCTATTGCATCTGTACAATAAGGAAGTTAGGGCTAATTTCTGCTGTCTGATATTACAGCTTATTGCTAACAGGATGAGCATTGCACTCCAACATACAGCCACTAGCAGGCAGCCAGAACATTCAATGGAACGATGCAAACACAAACATCACAGTCTTTAAATGGTATGTTCACTAAACCAAAAACAGATGATCAAGGAAATTATATTCTCAGAACTTGGAATAAACTATTTCTCATACAATATATCATCTTCTCTAACTATCTTTACTTGCGGATTTGGCATAACCATTGCAGAACCAGCTGCACAAATCAACTAAAGTGAAGTTCCTGTGTGATGCTGCAAGGGTTCTGTGTGTGCATGCATTTTTTTTTCCACAGGCTTACTGCATTTACGAAATCAGAAGAGTAGAACCAAAATAATAATAATAATAAAAAAAGATATAAATCCCAGCTCCTGCCCCCCATGTGAGCACATGCAAGTACATATTCCTGTGTGCCTACATGTATAGCCAGTGTGTGCGCGCTTGAATGTGTAACCTAATTCAGTAATCAAGCACAACAGCTCAGGGCAGAGCTAATCAAGAGCGAAAAATAAGGAACAAACTTGACAAATGGGATGCTGAAGGCCAAAATGGTGCAAAAGGCATGTGGAGACTGACGTGTACACAAGCCCAGATGAAGAGTAATGAACTGTGGCACGAATAAGTGCAGCATTTATCCCTATTTTTTTAGATGAATTATCAAACATACTAATTTTAGTCTCCTTTTCTTTTTTTTTTTTTGCATACAAACAAACAAAAAACACAAAGCAAAACAAAAAAGAAAAAAAAAATGTCCTAAGCAGTGCCGCAACTGGTGAGATATGGCTGATGTCCCAGAGGACTTTTGATTCCCAGGTGTTTTGCAGTCCAGCTCTGCCTACGTCAGTAGTCAGCCACGGGTGCAAGCTTTCTGCTCAAGCTGACTGTGATGTTGGTGAAGAGGGGACTTCTTGAAATTAGGGGCGAGTAGTTTAGATTATTAAGACCATCCACACTCTGTCTCTCCTTTGAGTGACGTAGTAGACTATACCTGTAGGTGTAACAAAAAAAGAGAAGTAGTAATTAATCTAAACATCAGAAAACTGCAAAAACACAAGTATAAATTAGACGGTGGCAAGAAATGGTGAAATGCAACACAGTATTGGTGAATAATAAAAAATTTAGACAGATGTGAGGGGAATAAAACTCAATGAAAAAGTATGTATAATATATTCCAGTTGGTCACTTATAACCTGAAATTTGAATATAAAAATTCTTAACTTTCAAATTCGATCCTTTTGTGAAATCTGGAGAGTTAATTTGCCCTTTTAAGTTCACACAAGCTATTTAAGAGAAAACCAAACCAAAATGAGGAGAAAAAAAAAAACTGAACAGGGCCCTAAAAACACCATCTCCGTAGTGAAACATGGTGGTGACGGCATTGATACAGGGATGCTCTTCTGTAACACAGACAAGCTATCTGGAGAGAGCTGATGATTGATGAGGCTAAATGCAGGGTGATTCAAAAAACTAGACACTGCGACACCTTAGAGCAGGATAATTACCAGTTAGTGGCAAATATCAGTGAAAACATTTTAACGTTAGGTTCCCCCAACCAAAGTCAAAAGTGAAATCTTATTAGCAACCTGAAATGCAGAAAGCTTCCTGTTCTTTGCAAACAGGAATGAGGAATAATTTCATTCTTAAAATCGTTCAAAGTGAGAAGACATACATCAAAACACTGACAACTGTAATTATAGAGGAAGAGGTTTTACGAGTGTTGACCCGGGCAGGACTAATTACAAATACACACCACAGCTATTCATTGTAATTTTGGAAAGAAATCTGGCCGGTCAGATAAAATTCTAATAAAACAAACCGGTGGTGGATGACAAAACGTGAGAACAAAGGGCTTTTGTATTTTACCCTCTTTTTATAGTTTCTCAGCGTAACAGTTATGACTCTGCTTATTATAAGTCACTTTAGAATCCAAAGAATTCAAGAACATCACATGAAAAGGCTTTAAAGGAGTTGAAACTCTCTCAAAGTCACCACTCTGCCTTTTCATGTGACTGGCTTGAATCACATGAGTGTAAGCCTCGCTCGTCTTATCAGCTCCTTCTTCAACCACACGTCCTTGGGAGGAGGGGGTGGCGGGGTAATTAGGAATGAGTCCTGCGTGCATTTGAATACCCACCTTCCCAGGAACTGGGCTTCTCCGCGATGGTGATGCGGGATGGACATGTAGCGTCCCAGGTCTCCATACGGTCTGCTTACACTGTAATTGGCAAACTGCACCCTGTGCAAACACAACATATATATATATATATGTATATATATGTAACACAGTTTTGTTTTTCAACAACACAACATCGAAATTTCATTCCCAAAACTGGCAGGAAAAAAGTTCATTTGATAAAGACAGCAGATTATGCAGGAATACAGGATGCCCTTAAGGTATGCAGCAGTGTAGGTCGGGGGGTTGGGGATTGCTGCAAGGCTGAAAGTCACATGAAGGCAAAGAAAAAACTAACACAAAGGCTTGTTTATGTGCCGACTGGGCTAACTTATCTAAAAAAGATGTCTAAAGCCAACAATGTAGTCGGCCTGCTGCTGCAGCTCCATCAGATAAGCTGCAGCGTGTTTTTTCTGTGGTGTTTTCTCTACCTGTTCCAGAGGTCATCGTCCTCGCCTCCCCAGCCCCAAAACGCATTGGGAAATCCATTAATTCTTTTGAACTGCTTCACCGTCAGGCCACTGACACCACCAAAGAACTCATTATACGGAAGCCTTGGGGAGGATAATTACACATATTGGAGTGACTCTGTGTAAAAGCATCATTTTCTCCATAGACAGTGGACAGACACTCACATGTAGGAGTACTTGTCAAGTTTGACAGCAAAATGTCGAGGCATGTCTGTGCAGCCGTAGTAGTTCCTGTCGTTCTCCATGAGGTGATCAACATCATGGAAGATCAGACAGTCCCAGTCCAGGTCCTTCATGGCCTCCTTAAAGCCCACGTTGAACAACATGGCTCTGTTAAATGGTTCTGTTCCTCCCTGAAATAAACATAGGAGTTAAATAAAACATCATTAAATAAATAATCAACCTGTTTTTCTTCCAGAAAAAAAAAGGAGCTAAAATGGTTTCAGTTGCAAGTTTCTGTATGTAATCGGCTGTGCATGTGAATCCATACCTGCTCAATGACATAAAAGGCAAACTGGAGTCTCTGCTTTTGCAGCACAGGCACCAGGTGTCTCAGTAGGATGGGCAAGTGTTCATGACGGTTCCTGAATGGAACGAGGACTGCCACCTAGGGATGCCAAGAAGCAAACAATCAAGCAGAAATCAACTAAAAACATAAAAGAACAGAAGAAGCAGCACTTATTGAGCATGCTGGTAAGCTCAACGGTTTATGATGGAGAACCAACTGCTCCAAAAAAGTTAATATTTATGGTCGTGACATGGAGTAAGCCTGATGGAATAAAGTAAGAATTTTAGCCAAAAAGCAAAATAAACTCAAGTTTAGAGGAAGAAAAAGGATAAAATGACTTGGAGGTAGTTTATAAACAATGACAAAACAGCTGCTGCCTACAAACAAACTACTGATCTAAGAGTTTGTAGAGCTAATATAAGAGGCCCACAAACAGAAGGGAGCTTTTGCTGAAATAATAATAATAATAATAATAAAAAAAAAAAACAGAAATAAAACCTGGGTTAAAACAAACAGAAATGTGTCTGCGGCATTTAGAGGCAAGGGATGGGTCTAATTGCTTTGCTCACTTCTTAAACAGCGAGAGTATGTTCCTGCTTTTGTGTGGCTAACAGAGCTGCTGCATAGCTCTACATCAAAGAATAAACACCACATTACTATTAAAGTGAACAGAGCATATAAAAAACATGCTGGTTAATTACTCTATATAACATCCCAATGAAACACAGACTCTACTAATCCACTAATAAACAGAAGTGCTGTGTTGCATTAACCCAGCCCAAAGAAAAAACAAGGGTGGGTAGGAAAGGAGAAGCCTGCTTGTGTCACAGTTCACCCTGCAGTCAGAGAATGAGCCCTTTAAACACAGTGAAAAAGAACTAATGTTACTAATGTTCAAGCCTTTTTTTCATATGAACTCATCCTCTGCAAGATGATTCCAGTGTAGGATAAATTAATTTATTTTACATATTTTATGTCTTCTTTTGAAAGTTAAGCATTTAAAACCAAATGCACTAAGGTTTGTTACAGGTTATAGTAAAAAAAAAAAATGCACAAAATCAGTTCTGGGTGATCAAAATTTTTGCTTTTATAATTTTAATTCATCTGGTAACCATCCTACTAGTGTTAATTTTACCAGCCATTTTTAAATTTAGCTTCAGTTTTAGTCCAGTTTCAGCATTGCTTGTTAGTTTTTATCACATTTAGTCGACATCATCCCATTTTTATTTAGTCTAATTTTAGTCGACTATAAGTCGAGCATTTTAGTCCTTATTTTAGTCCAAGAAAACATAATTTTATTCGTTTAGTTTTAGTCAACAAAAACTGTCAACATTTTAGTCTAGTTTTAGTCAGGACATCAACCTTTTACTTTAGTCTCGTCTTGTCTAATTTTCATTCGGTGAAAATGTGCGTTGATGAAAATATTTTCGTTTAGTTTTCATTAACAAAATTAACACTACATCCCACAGAGAGATTCTAGCTGTAACTTGCATTAGCTCCACAAATACAGATGATGGGGGGAGCTTTGTTTTGGTTTTACCATGGCTTTGTGTTTTTCATGATAACATATTTTTAGAACTCTATTATACTGTCATATAGCTAACAGTTCATGGCTTAAGGTAGAGGAATGAAAATTAAACATAAAAAATTTACCTGCAGATTGTAATTGGACATTGTTGTAGGAATTTATTTCTCCTATAAGTCCCACAATATTTCAGGAGCGACTGGTAAAACTGTTTGAGCCCCAAAAAGTAGCAATGTTTGTGTTTTTTCACCTGCTCTCCTCTTAAAAAGATCCTCTTACCTTCCAGCGAGGTAAACAGTCTTTGGGCTTCCAGAAGCCTCCCCGGGCCATACGGGGCACTCTCTCCAGCAACGACCGCTCGACCTCCTCCAGAGATATTTCAGTCATGTTCACTTCCAACCTGCCCTCTGAGATAGGAAGGAGGCAGGGAGAGAGAAAAATAAATCAAAGTTAGACATTGTAGGAGGCAAAAGAAAATGCCAGAACAGGAGAAAGGAAGAGAATTGTGAGAATCAAGTGAAAACAATGAAAGATATACAAATGAATATTGAATAAAGGGTGACATATTTTAATCTAATATTCTTTGCCAAATATCATTTTTTGCTTATACTTAAGGCAGAATTATAAAACAGAAGTCTATCCCAGAATATGAATAGTGTGCTTACTCATAGAGGGCAGCTTCTCGGGGCAAACCTGCGAAGGGAGGTATGTGAAACCCTCAGGGAGGTATGTGGTGGGAGGAGCATCGCTCTCACTGAAGTTGAAGTCATAGGAATAATCTGGTGTCACAAACAAAACAAATTTAAGCAACGCGTCAGAAGGAAATTCACTTTTTTTTTTTCTTCATTCTTCAGTATTTAGCTCTAGTGTGCTTTTCTCACTTCCTTTCCCAGCAGTAAAATCTCTAAGGACTCAAACATACATCATTAACGGTAAATCAGAAATTCTACAAAACTGGAACTCTTTATTTTTAACTTTCCTCTTTGAGTGACAGCAGATCTTCCTAGCTGATTTTTCATGAACTCAATCCAAAAAATCAAACTCATTTACTTTATCATTATTTATTGGCAACAATGCATATCAGTGATCATCTGCGATAAATACAGCTGTAATTATTCTGTAGTTCCAAGAAGACACACACTAGAGACAGATTGTATAAGCACAGACAGACAGAATGTGAAACAATGGTTAAAGGGAATCACAAGCTAGATTTTGTTTCACGTTTTGAGATGTAGTTTGAAAGTTTGATCAGTCTGTAGGCCTCAAATTGCCAGTGGAAGGCTGTTTCAGTACTTAGTTCCTCTAACTGACAGCACTTTGTCTGTTAGTGTCTTCTCAGGCTCTAGGTTTATTACATTATTTGTTTCCAGGAATTTCATGATTAGGGCTCACAAATGATAAGGGACTACATTTTATTTCTCACTTAATTAGAATTAGATCAATAAACATATATTTTTTTTAACATAGAAATATCAACCTATTGAAAAGTGCATCCATTATAGTATAGATACTGAATGCATATCCAAGGCTCCCATTTATAATACCGTACTTTTCCTGGCCAGTTCAGGCACATTTGGTCTCATCAGTAGTAAGAAGCTCGAATGGACTAATGCAGTGACCCACTTGATCAAAAATGACCCTAATAGTATTTACAATAAATGAAAGAATTTAAACGACCAATTGCACTGCTACACAAAGTTACCAAGTCTGCTTCCCCCCAATTATTTTTGTCTTATTTCCCTTAAAGTAAAAATAAAATTAACCTCATCCAAGTTGTATTGTCCTTTAAACAGATTAACTTATTTTCTACCAGTGGATTTTCATGTTTTTAGCTAGAGATAGATTTGTACATCATAAATAAAAATATTGAACATTAGCTAAGAGTGACCGAGCCTTTAGGAGTGGTTTGAAGAGGAAAGCTCAGCCTGATAGAAGCTTCAGCCAGACAGCTAGGAGCAAACTGAGTTCAGAGCTATTCTGTTCACTAAAACATACTGTTCCAGATCGGATTCTAAAAAATGGAACAACTAGTTCAAAGGGTTAGTTTAATGAAGTAGGAACAAAACAGCAGGTAGCTTGAGCCTGCAGTTACAAGCAGAACGTTTACTCCACCCACACTGATAAAACTGGATCTGTCCAAAAAAATTAAACCACCTTTACCTTTAATCTAAGGAGCCTACACCCCAATCTGAAGAAGAATTAATTAAAACAACTTTAAAAACATAAGATCCAACTGCCACAAAGTAAACTTCTATAATCCATGTCCTGTTTTTTTTTTCTATATGTTGTGGCTCTAGAATTACTGTAGTTGATAACTTGAAAAATCTGCTGTCGTCTCTTTTGCTTTTACATCTTTTATTACGACACCTGTTCCTTTCTATGGAACTTTGCTTTCATACACTTGAAACAAGGAGTCAGCGATGACTATTTTGCTAATGGGTGTGAATGAATGCCTGTTGGCTAACTGAAGCCAACATTCTTCCACAATTAGGTAGGATGCAACATTTATGCATTAATCATACTTTATATGTTGTTCTTAACAATAATACAATTTCTTCCCAGAACCTAATTCTGTTTATTAACTGCCAGCATCAAAAACATCTGAAATACATCACAGTATGCCGTAACTCTATGCAAAATGTACTTTTTGAAATGAATGAATGAAATAATTATCTTTTAAATTAGGTTCTAAATATGAGATCCATCTGTATACTTGACCAATTAGATATACTGTGATTTTTGGACTTTTAGCCGTACCTGAATAGAAGCCGCAGAAGCTAAATTGCATGATTTGTACATATACAAGCCGCACCGGACTATAAGCCGCGGGTTTTTTATGTTTTATGCCCGTCTTTCTCGCTTTTGTTCTGTCTCGTACCACTCGCGGTAGAAGTCTGCTTTCGGAGGACCTCCTCATTTCCCCGCGCGTGGCTACCGTACTTCTGTGTTGAAGCAAATGTGACGTCAACATGGTGGATGGTAAAATCCATAGATTTAGGTATTAACCTAGCGGCCGTTAGCTGTAAAAGTCCATAGATATGCCGCATTGTTATATAAGCCGCAAGTCGAAAAATGGGGGAAAAGTCACGGCTTATAGTCCGAAAATGACGGTACTTTCCCTGCCCCACATAACATCTATTAGATTTTAGTGACAGACAAGCTGAAGCTCAGAATGAGCAAAGGGGAACAAAAGAGCTAATATAACCAGGCTTCTCTATGATGGATATCACTACAACACTAAAAAGGTATATTATCTGGAAAAATACAATAAACCAAACCACTCATACATTACTCTGTTTGTAATAATTCCACCAAAATCAGCTTTTTAAAAGCATCATTGAAACAAATATCAAAGTCTACTTTAAAAGATGAGCCTGTGTGTTCTTACCTGTGCCATTGATGCTGTAGGCCCCTCTCACAACTTGCTCCAGAACCTGAGCCCCTATGTTCTTCACGTTCTCTCTGATCTGAATTCCTCTGGCTTGGACCATGAACACATACTCATTCACTGTAAACAGAAGAAAGAAAAGTACAGTTGAGTAAATGCTAACTATTCATTTTTCTATCCTGAGCAAGGTCTTCCTCGCTTTCCTTTTCATGTAAGCAGATTCTCCACTATATTCAGCATAAAAATATTGAAATTAGAGATGATTTAACAATGGGAACTTCCCAAGTGTATGCCAAGGAGCTTTCAGTAAAAGAAGGGGAACTACTAAATGGTTAATATTTAAAGATGAAAGAGACAAAGCAGGAGAGAGACTGGGATGATGTTTCTAAATTAACTGACTGGCTGCTGCTTTTAGGACTTGATAATGGGAACATTTTAGCTCATGAAGCACTATGATTTCCTTTCATTAGCTACTGCACTGTCTTAAGTTGATTATATGTTTTGACAAATATGCTTATAGTTAGAAAATGGAGGGAAAACAGATGAGTGCGTAAAGAGGAAGAAAGACAAGAAGTGAAGAAGGAAGAGCGTAAAACCTTTTTTTCTAAGTGCATTTCCATTCAGAAACCTAATGCTTAATGTTTCAAACATTAACCAGTGCATCCCATAACAGCATACTATATTTCTGAGTTTATCAAAGATAACATTTGGTCAAAGAAGCTGCCTCCCTTTAGAAAGCTGGTTGACCTACATTATACTCCTGCAAAGGTTAATCAACCAAAAGGTAGCAGTAGAACAGAACATGAGGGGATTTTGCGGTCTAAATAAGTCACAAATTAACAAAAAATTAACAAACCAGACGAGTCACTGACACTTTTCATCCATTAAATCAAATGTGTGTATTACATTGCACAGATCCACAATACTGCAGGAGAGATTTTAAGAAAGACCAAAGGAAAACAGACATTTTCCTGCCTTGATGAACAGGAAAGGTGAAAGAAGATTTTGTAGCAGCACACCAAAGTACTGCCACACTAAGGAATCCTGAGTTATTTGAATCTACCTTCAGCTACACAATCAGCTGCTGAAATCTAATTAGCATCCATCTTAAAGCAATCCCAATATGATCTACAAGCTTCAGTACAATATATGTGCATGTAAGTGCAGTTTGCGAGGGTGTGCGAGTGCATGCCAGTGGAACACTGCTGAGCCAGAAATCCTCAGGATGCGATTTGTCATTAGTAATTGTATTACAGTTTCCATCACATTCATCTTATTTTATACAAACTGCCAGGCTTGCAGGACTTGAGACTAGTAGCTAAGCTCTAACTGAAATCAATGTTCCCGTTTACTTCTGCAGCATGCAAACACTGAAGCTCAACTGGAGCCAAATCTGTGGTAGATTATTTTAAAAAAAGAGAACCACAGTGACCCAACACATTTAGTTCACATCTTTGTAGAACATTTTTTGGTGAAAAGAAAAAAATACTGCATTCACCAACTCGCTGATAACCGTCTGAAACAGCATATGATGGAAAAAGGCTTAGAGACTTCTGGGCCCGGGGCAGGCGCCGATATCCGCTGACATGTTTCGTTCTCATGCCTTCCAAGCATATGGAGATTTATATATTAGCCTATCAGGGCAAACCTGACCTACATACATCCTGGCTGTTTAGATGCAGAGCTTTGCCAAAATGGTTTGACATTTGCAGAACCACGCAAAACAGAACCTCTGTGTGTTTTTCCTCCCTCAAAATGTCTGAATGTCAGTATTATCTCTTTCTGGCGGTTAGTCGGAAATTCTTTTTAAAGAATTTGAAACTGATAAAGCAAAACTGTTACTTAAGGAGTTCTAGAAGGACATGTTTACAGACAATTAAGGTTTTCATGTTAGATGCAAAGAGCATAAACATATTTTGTACAGTTGTGGCATAACTACTGCTATTAGTCTCTTCTTGTTTTAGCATATGATATTGCTTTGTAGTATGTTAACTCTAGTAAATGGTTTATCAATTCCTAAATTAGTTGTTTATTAAAATAAAAAGATTAATCCTTATTAGGGCTGAACAATAATCAGATTAATCGTGATTATAGATTACAGAAATAATAATCAACTAATTTAGTAATCGATTGATCGTTAACTGAAGTAGAGTGATTTTAGCTGACAGAGCAACCCACTTAGAGCAGTAACTATACCAAAATTGTAAAAAAATACATAAACATTTTGCATTTAAGATTAAAAAGAAAAGTTTAATCTTTCATTATTCTCTACCAAGAACTCCTGTAGTGGAAAAAGTTTGAGTTTCACCTCAATTATTTGTAAAACATCTTTCAGGGACCTATGGCTATCCGATCATTAATCTATTAATTGAAAAAATATTCAACAGAGTAATCCATTTGAAAAATAATCATTAGTTGCACCCTTATGGCATAAATGTCAGCTATGTTTCCTGGAACCACCAGGCGAGGTTAACAGTTTTCTAAATCTAGAGATGGGTATCAGCACAAAGTGCAGTGTGGGCAAGTATTGGAGAGACTCAAACTAGCAAAACTGCAAATAAACTTTACTCCTGCAGCTGCTGCTAGTTTTAAAAATGTTCGACTTTTAAAACATGTTGCATTTTGCTTGGAATTCTGACTTCAGGAAATATTTCTGCTTGGCTTCTGGGTGAAATATGTGACGCATGATTGAACTATCAGTTCTAACCTTTCACTTTCATAAAAAAAAAAAAAAGCAAAATGCAGCAAAATAAACTAAAACTTTCTAAAATGTCGGTAGGAAGTATTTACTAAAGTGTAACTTGCTATTAAAAAAACAAAAAACGAGTAAGTGATCTGCTGTTGGGAAAATTGGCCTACAAGTTACCACACATTAAGCATGCTCGCCCTGGACTCTGGAGAAAGGCTGGCATGACATCCTCTGCGACAGATTCAATGAAACATGGGAGACCTGGTCCTTAGAGGAAGCAATCATAATAGGCTACAACACAAGGCCATTAGCACTCCACATATAATACACACGCATACACTTTAATGGATCACAGTCAGCTGCAACACAGGCCGATAGATTGAAAGGACTTCCTTGCCAACTGCTGGTGTGTTTTATCTCATCAGGCCCCCTACACCCACTGTAACCTATCAAGTATGGCAGAAGACCTTGAACAACCTGGTCTCTCTCATGGAACATAGTGTCCACAAACCAAGCCAGGTCCTTTTCTCCTCTACATAACGTCCTCTTACCACTTATCTGGATATCCCTCTATATCGCTGCAGCTCTTCTTCTCCTCTCAGTGCTGCTCTGTGTCACTCTTTGTCAAACCCCATTGTTCTTATCATTTAAGTGAATAATCTAAAGGGTGGCTGCAGGCTCACGGGGACAACTCCAAGCAAAGACCAAGCCCAGTGCCGTGCTACATTGAGTTTAAAAGATAAAGGAAAAGAGCAAGCAAACAATGAAAAAGAGAAGATACACGGCATCTTCCTGTTTTTTCTCTGCAAGGCAATTAACTCTACATTGATAGCTCAGCAGTGGGAGGTGATCTGTCCCGTTCTGCTGGCGCCCCGATAAGAGCTGAAAGGCAGTTCTTCTTTAGTCCAGGCTGAATTGGATTCTGCGAGCACACATGCCTCGCTCACTCTCTTAGCTTTGAGGGTTTAAAACTGTCACTCTCAGAGAGGGTCAGTTTAATGCCGCGGCCTATCAGTGACACCCACAGATCCACAAATTCAAGGAGCTAATCAGGGGAGGACTCTGTACAGCACAGGAGCAGACTCTTCATAATTGAGTGAATGGTTAGGGTATATTATGGTGGTGTAATTAATTCAGCCGTCATCCACACCATCAGAAATGTAACCCATTAGGTTGCCTACTGATGACTAAGCGGGTCAATTTCAACACCTTATTGGAAAGTAAACAGGCTATTATTCAAAGCATTAACAGAAAATCCCTCACAATTAGCTTGTTCTGCTGCGATCTGAGCATATTGATCTACCTGCGATGTTGAGATTAGAACATAACAGCTGAGCTTTTTCTTTGCGGCATTTCCATCAAAAGAAAACAAACCAAATGTTTTAACTTGTTTAAGTACAAAAGGTATCATTTAAATGGTTACCTGGTAAATTTCCCTACAGTTACAATGGGATTTCTTTTTAAGGCATGTGATTGTAGCTCCATTTTGTTTTTAAATGTCCCTCTAATACATTGCACTTCCAACCAGAAGGAAGTGAAATCATACTGACTGTTTAAACCTCACCCATCACACATAATACTTTATACAGAAGGAAATGACACAAGAAGTCCTCTGCTTTGGGCCGCCACTGAAGGCTAAGTGGGGAATGGGAAGTGTGTCTTCCAAAACGTCTGGTTTATTTATCTAAGTTGTTACCATCTTGAAAGATGTCCTGGCCTAGCTTCAGAGTAACTGAGGGTCTGCTTATGCTCCACTAACAACACTTTATGCAAAGAGCGGTTCCACAAACATTTGTTAGGTGCAAAGCATTAACACGGCAGATAATCCAAGTCGTAACTTCTTTTATCTTTTACAATAAACGGTTTGATAAACACATTTGGTACTTTGCATTAAAAGATCAAAATTAATGACTTTTACAGAGAGAAATAAGAAATCTGCATATTCTTAACAGTTCTTATACTCTTCGTCGTTGACAGCAAAAAAAAAAATTGCTTATACCCCTCATCTAATAGAACCAGGTTTATTATATTTGGATTAAAAATGCCTGTAAATAAATGCATAAAACTGTGCAAAATACTTTACTTTGTTCAATCTTACAACTAGGGACTAATGAGCCCATTTTACAGCGCCAAGAGAGGACTAATATACCGACTATAGCCTCCTTTAGGTTTTTAAAAATACTTTCTGGTAAGAATACAGAAAGACTTGTTTGAGTTCTTATATATATTAATTATTTTCTATGAATTGGCACCAATGGGCTTTAATGCTAGAAAATGAAAAATATTTCTTTGGCATAGTGCTTCAGATCCAAAACAATGGTTTAAATTCTAGGCCTCCTGTAGCTCCATAACACCTGCTCACACCGACATGAATGGATTGATTTAGGATTTATCAAACACCACTAGGTCGCCTTCATAAAGGGGTAACTCT